CACAGACACACACTGACCAGAAGAAGGCGACTTTATCGGCGAGCTTCTTCTCGTGGACGTTGCGGTCGAGCAGGTTGTAGCAGATGTTGGTGGACGCTCCCTCCATGCACTTGATGTAGATTTCTCCTTTGGTCACATCAAAGTTGTAGTCGAGGAACTGACCCGTGTGCTTGGTCTTCCAGAAGAAGTCCTTAGCAACGTCGCCCCAGAACTCTGCGGGACAGGAAGTGAGAGCGATCAGAGGGAGACGCATCAGTTTGCACATGAACTGTACGACTATTACAACAACAACAGTAAATAAACATGGGGTTGCGTTTCCTTCAGTTACACACCCCGACGCATCTTCCATCACCACGAGCATCACTCAGTCTGTGACATCATCGTTAGCGTGGAAATACCAATGTACCCTTACACTGTATTATTACTGCAGTAACATCCTGGTACCATTTATTATTCTCTTTGTTGTATCACATAATTGCGTGGTTACATTATAACCACCGTGTTACAGTATTTTACGCCCTGTTGTTCTTCCTGAGGACAGTTTGTTCCAAGTACAGAGTTTATGCTCGTTACAAATACAGTTCATATTAAATATGTCTGCCCTCCTGACGCACTGCTCTGATGTGTTTACAGTTTGTTTTTAAACACACACACACACACACACACACACACACACACACACACACACACACCTGAAAAGGTGTCGCTTACAGCAGAGCCTATAAACAGCCGGCTTTAATCACTGTTAATAATCAACCAGCTCAGGTTAAACTGTTTAACAGCTGCTGCTGCAGCCAGACGCCGCTTTGCAACGTTTTCCTCTAAAAACTCATCTGTGCATGAAGCCTGCAGCACAGACCGGCTGATATCATGCTTTACACACCTCCCTCCAGGAAACCACCTGAGCAGGTAAAGCTACTTCCTTACTGCCACCAAACTAAAATAATCTCAAAGTTCATGTCTATGGGTTACACTAAACTACACTTATTACAAACAGAACAGCAAAACTTTCTTTCAAGTCATAAAGAGAAGTTTCATGTTATTTTTGCCCAAGCGGTCATTTAGCTTCTGAAACACAAAGATGACATGAGTCCAGAAATATTCAGTCTGATGAAAAAAGAAAAAGGTCCTGAAAACTGGAGTATTTCATCCAGAGAACTGTGGATTTTTAAAATGCTGCTCATTTCCAGCTCGCTGGTTTTATTCTTGGACTCAGCTGAGCAGCTTTGCATGGTTTTATGTGACACTCTGCTACATGTTTAATTTTATAGATACTGAACCTTTTCAGCTTCTTCGGCCTATTGGTATCAAAGTTGTTTCCCATTACAATAAATGGATTACATAAATGCTTGGATTGTCACCCTCACTAAACTTTGACGGCTTTAACAGCAGCCTGCGTAGCCACGATACCAACACGCCGTTGTGTTTCCAGAGGTGACCACATGTGGATGAGAGGGTGGAGTCAAAGGTATGACCAAATGCTGTGCGGTCACCAAGCTGCATCCTTGGACCGTATTAGTGCATCAACCCGGAGCACCGCCTTCTCAGATGGTTAGTGCAGTGACCTCACAGCAGACATTACTGGTCACATGATGTCATTACAAAGCTCCAAAAGGCTCCAACAGCACAAACACGATCCAGAGGTCCAGTTCTGGGACTCTATGGGTACCGACTCAGTGCTGGCGCCTCCGCTGGTCACTAGAGGAACTGCAGCTTTCACACCCAAAATCTTGTGTTTCTTTTTGTATTTAATCCATTTCATCTTTTTAAAACTTGGATTTGTGGTTTTCAGCTAACTGCTAAGACTAAATTGGTCTCCATGGTCTCTGGCTATGATGTCACTGCACCTGCCTGATCGCTTGAATCCAAACCAAAGAGCGGAAAATGTCACAGATCAAAGGAGAGCACAGAGGGCACGCGCAGGGAGCGGTGCATCTGTACATGAAGACAGGTCTACACTCCACCCCCGTGCGCGTGCACTCCGGGACTATCTGCACCTGCCCATTCACACTTTAGAAGTTTAGCTGACTGTACGATGACGTTTCTGCACTTCTGCTTTAACCCTGACCCATCACCTGTGTCACCTGGAGTCGCAGGTGTCGTCTTTGCTACCTGAGCTACCGTTTTGAGGAGACTCACCGTCCGGGTTGTCCACGGACTTCATGTAGAGCTCTCTGTACTTGTCGAAACTCGGGACGTGAGCCTCCTTCAGCTCCTCGGAGCCGTGGAACACGTTCTCCTGCGGGGGCTTCTCAGGGATCATGTCTGAAACTCGAGCCGTGAGCTCAGCTTCCAAAAGAAACAACGGGTCTAGCGGGCAGGTGTCCTTCAGCTGCAATTAATGAATGGTGGCTACGAGGCTAGCAGGGTGCCAGCTAACGGCTAGCAGCAAAGTTCATTTAGACTTCCTTGTTCTGCAGGAGCTTTTTTTGTTGAGCTTCCGCTCAGACTTTGTGTGCAGAAGCCGAGCTTGGACCGTAAACTCGCAGGTGCGTCTGTAAACCGGATCCCAGGTGAGTGTGGGTGCAGCTCCCGTGGACTCTGTCCGCTCCTCTCGAGGAAAGTCCTGCAGATCGGACACGGAGCAGCTAACAGGCTAACGCGCTGAGCTAACAGCCTTCAGGAGAAAGAGAATTCACACGCGTGCGCAGAAGATTCCTCCCGCTTCAGCGTGTAAAGTGTGTTCTGGATAAATGTGGGCAGCAGTTGGACCTCTGGCCGAGCAGAGCCTGTGTGGACTCTCCGAAGGAGCCGCTGAGAGGGTTTCGTCTCTGAGCTGACAGGTCGCAGCTCCTTCTTTTTCTTCTTCTGCTCCAGGAAAGCGTGTGGCGCTGAGCGCTGTTTGGCTCCAGGGGCAGCCAATCAGAGATCACCGCTGATTCGCGGACTCAGGGAACTGTAAGAATTTACAGTACTAACAATAATAAACAGGGCTGGTGCTGCATTCAAGTGCTTCTCATACAGGGTTTAAGATAGTAAAAGTTTTTTTTATTCAATTTTGGCTCAGTCTCGGTACTGTGCAAAAGTTTTGAACTTACATTGTTCAAAATGAGAAATAGGTAAAGCGATGAATGGAAATCCAGTTTAGAAGCCAAAAACAGAATTTATGTCATACTAATGACCGTCAAGTCGGACAGATGGTGTTGCACGGTGAATCCAACTCTTATATAACTTTTTTGTGTTCAATCCATGCGTTTTAAGTTTACCTGTGACAGAGCTTCATCCTTAGAATTACTCAAATATATTTTGCAATTCCAGAAGCGGAAGTGAATGGAAGCGTGGTGTTTTGAGGCTAGTTTCATTTTTCCTTAGATTATTGATAACGGTCCAATGCTGCACCCTTGTGGGCACAGCTGTGTATTACAGCAGTCCCTCATATCATATTTTTACCTATTTATTTTTTAAGTATTTGAGTCAATCCGGCAGCATTTCTGAGACAGGAGAGCGGTCTCAGAAGCTCATGACCCGTTATTGATCCTCATGAAAGAGAAAAATCTTTAATTATACATTTATCACTCAGTCTCCTCCTAATCAGAGTTTTTATTCTGTAGGATGAGCGTTGGCTCAACAGAGCTCTGACTGTTTGTCAGCCTGGCTACAGAGCTGAAGAGAAACCTGGGGTTGTTCTTATTTACTTCAATCAGTGATGAATAGTAAGATGTTCTGGCTTTGCGGAGGGCTTTCTTATAAAGCAACAAACTATTTCTCCAGGCTAAATGATGACCCTCTAAATTTGTGACACACCATTTCCTCTCCAGATTACGAGTCATCTGCTTTAGGCTACGTGTTTGAGAATTATACCACGGAGTCAGGTACTTCTGATTAGAGACCTTAGTTTTCACAGGAGCTACAGTATCCAGAGTCGTACGTAGTGAGGAGGTGAAATTATTAACAAGATGATCGACCTCTGTTGGAGCAGCGTTCAGATAGCTGCTCTGCTCTATGTTGGTACAGGGCATTGAAGATGATAACAGTGGGTGGATTATATTCTTAAACTTAGTTACAGCGCTTTCAGAAAGACATCCACTGTGATAAAGTCTACTCTCCACCGCTGTGTAATCAATTATTGTAAATGTAAATGTTATCAGGAAATCAGGATATTATACTGTAATTGGCTCACCAGCCACTTTATTAGGTACACCTTGGTAGTACTGGGCTGGACCCCCTTTAATACTTCTTGGCTCAGATTCAACAACATATTCTGGTGACATGACATCATCATGACATCATCATACATGTGAAGCACCCATAATGAGAATCTCCTGAACATCCCAAAGCTGCTCTGCTGGACTGAGATCTGTGACTGCGGAGGTCGTCCGAGGACAGCGAACTAATCGTCATGGTGAGGAAACCAGTTTGGTCTTAGCTTTGAGATGTCGGAAATCTGGGATTCATAGAGTATTCCTCTGACGCCGTCACAAGCCATCAGCAGCCACCCCTGGGTAGGCTTAAACGATGCTCGGCTGGTCCTGAAACCCCCCAGCAGCAACCTGAACACGGACGCTCTCGTGACGTTCACACACCAGTGCATAAACACTACAAAGCTTTCCTCCAGTTAAAACAAGGCCAGCTTCAGGTGGTGGCTGTGGAGACCTTTACAAACACATGTACATTTTTGGCCTTTAAGGATTCAAGATCTTTGTGATTATCAGCGTTAACTGAGAATCGAACCTCATCCACTCACAGACAGCTGCTGACAGAGCAGAAAGAGCCTCGTCGTCTCAGAGCTCACATCAGCAGCTGGAAGCTTAGAGGCACATCTGGGAAGAGCAGAGGAGTGAGCTCAGCTCCTGCTGTGACTCACAACATCCTGCTTCAGGAGAACATCTGGACCTCCTGCAGATGTTAGACTCAAAATCCAGCAGACAAAAAACCCATCATACTCTCAGCTTTGCTGCCTCTCTGAGCGGTTTTTAACAAACACCTGAAGGATTGTTTTCCTGTCATCGCCAAGTTGGAGCGCGGTTCTGTGGAAAGGAGGAAAAACAGCCGACTCAGGCGTGGAAATACTGTTTTATTGTCTGTACGAAACTTTATTAAAGAAGTATAACAAACACAGAGAGAAGCCCGGACAGAGAAGACTCGGGTGGCGCTTGGCCCGCGGCGTGCACGCTTATCGGCACAGACCGTTAAAAGGGGAGAGAGGTCAGAGGTCAGTCAAGCATCATTACCTTTAAAGCGAGTATTTCCCTTCGCTCAGACACGTTCTGTACCAGTCAGACATGAAACACCACCACAGTCCTTCTAACACTTACAGTGACACACTTATTATCGTTCCAGCAGTCCGTGTTCGGCCGTGAAAAAAACTCAGCACAAAGACAGAAGCGCCGTTAACCTGGTCACCTGATGTTGGCAGTGCGGAGGAAGTAACGCCGCTCTTCCACCAGCGTGATGCTGGGACCCCGCCCTCAGAGGTTCTCCAAGAACAGAGCAGCTGTGTCCAGGTGAAGATGCTCCGTACCAGCTCTGGAGTGGCTACTGGGACCACAGGGGTGGAAGAATAGAACCATTACCTCTTTTCTACCAACTCTGTGCTGCTGAGAGCCCAACATGGCGGAGGGTCAGCGGCTGAAGAAGACGTTTATGCTACTGAAGACAGGGCTAAGTGTGGACGCAGCAATGCCGCCATGCTGGTGCTGTTTTGGTTCAACATCAAATACGTCAGAGCACAGACGAGCATTCTTTAGACCAAACCCAAGCTCACTTCCTGCTCCTCTAATCCCCTCTAAAAAAGATTTAGACAGAGTCACAGTTCCACGCCGACGTGTTTTTTTCCTAACAGTTCAGAGCTTCGTGTGAATTTTACTGAAGGTTTTTACTGGTTTGGAGGGGCGGGGCTTAATGGGGTCAGCACCTCGAACTTCCCCTGAGAGCATCAACTCACTACATGACAGACTGAAACACTGCATTGAGAGCAGTGGACGCTGCTGACGTCGTCTCTAGGGAAGCTCCGCCTCCAGTTCCTCACGCCAGCAAAAGTTTCAACAAATTCATTCGGACAAACGTGCCAAAATACAGTTCACGTAAAGTTTAATTGTCTTCACCCCCACCCATCTCCACCACCTCTGCCCGGCCGCCAGGGCTTCTGATCCGCCTGTTTTAACTCCGCCCACTCGTCACTATGACGGAGCTAAACGGCACACGCAAAAAATAAAATTAGAAAAAAAGAAACGCAAACAAATAAAAAATTAAAAAGTTCTTTGAGTTTTTTCAAGAATGCAGAAATGTCTCTTTCCAGAAAGAAACCCAAATCCACACTCGGGTCCCTCCGCCCGTGAGAGAGCTGTAACCGGCGGATGGAGACGGCAGAGGGAAATAGTTCCTGCATAAAACGGCTCACGAGTGCCTTTTCTTTTGCGTGGCTCACATTCTTCTGGAAAGAGAAATCCCTGCAGAACTTTCAAACCTGCATCTGTGCCTTTCTTAACTTTCACATCAGTCGCATTAATCAGAAGCCAGACTACAACTTAAACTAGGAGACTACTTCAGTTTTCCTCCTCAGGTCCGAAAGCAACACGTGCTGCAGCACAGACCAAAAAACTAGCCGGTAACCCCACCCCGAGGCTCCGCCCGCTCTTCCAGAAAATACATTCTGAAAAAGATGGAGAAACGAAAAGATCGGAGACGCTGAAGGCAACAAGCAGGAGAGCGGACCGAGCCTCAGCCGGACACTTTTGGGAGCGTTTGATGGAAGACGGACGCCGAGCGTTTCCCCACAACGACCTCCAGACTGACAGTAAACGCACGCACGCGCGCGCACACACACACACACACACACACACACACTAAAGAAAGATTAAGGCCATCGATGGAACATTTCAGAAACTGGGCTCCAGTCAGACCCACGACAGCGCTGCAGGGACGTGTATGCAGACTCGCAGTGATTCCCACGCGCTTCCTTCAGCACGCTAAGCAATACGCTTAAACCCCGACGCAGGACACGAGCCGAACTCTAACAGGAAGTGTCCGCAGACAGACCCAATCGGCCGCGAGCCCGAAAGAGCCGAACAGGCTTTTAACCCGCGCGCGCAGATTGAAGACGAGCTGACTGCTGTGCAAACCAAAGAGGGGGTCGTTTAAGGTTACAGCGAGTGCATCGGAGGGGCGGAGTCAGTGACAGCACAGCCTGAGGGTGGAGGTACCCCCACCCTCTGCCCCCAGCTGCTCAGTCGGGTTTCGGCTGGAGCGCACAGCATTTGGATTTTCCGTGATGTGTAAGGGCCGCTGCAGGAAACAGACAAAACAATCTGGTTTGGTTCTTTTTTACTAAACATTGTCGTGTTGATCAGAAGGCTGCCAAACGCAAACACGTCCTGCAGTTTGTTAGGAAGCCTGACGTGTCCGATGTGCTACCAGGAACATTTTCAGTGTGAGGGAAAAATCTCTGCGCTGACGTGGCTGCGATCAGAAAGGTGAACAACACGTGCCAAACACAAAAACACAACCAGTGGAGAGAGGTGGGAGGCGTGAAGAACAGGAGCATCAATTTACAAAAGCTCAGCACAAATAAAGATGGTGGAAGAAGGCCAGCAGACGAGCCGGCGGCGCCGCGTCCCAGACTAAACCTGCACAAACCCTCAGCGGGTTCGCTCGGAATGTGTCGGGATTAGTTTGGGAAGTCGGCCGGGTCTGCGGAGGAGGATCTCCACGTTTCATTTCAAACACACACAGACAGACACACACACACACACAGAGAACATCATCACCGTGTTTTCAAATCAAAGTTCGTTACAAACACCAGATATGTTTGTTGGCACCATCCGGTTTTGGGAAAGATGGAGTAACAGGGGGGAGGCGGGGCCGAGGCTTCGCGGTAAAGGATGTTTGTCGAAGGTGAGACGAAGGAGAAGTCCAGCAGGTACTTTGGGGGGGGGGGGGTGTCAAGCTGAGACCGGGTTCGGCGCTGGATATAAAAACCAAAGGCTCGGCTTGATCGGGGTGTGGAGGCGGGTTGGTGGGTGAGGACGTCTACGAGAAACATTGCTGCAGTCTTGAATATTAAAACTCCTCCTGATCCTCAGCGTCCGGTATGACGAAGCCCTCCTGGAGACAAACGCAGACGGGACACAGTTTTAGGCTCAGCACGAAATGTCACTTCCTGTTTGCACTACAAACCAATCATGTGCCGTGCTGCATTATATCAAATGAAAGTGTGTGTGTGTCCAGTGACGAAGCACTTTTTAAATGTGTTTACAGTCAAAGTGCCGACGTGTGTTTAGGATCCTTCCCGAGGAGCTTTTGGAAGTTTTGGCATCGCCTGCGGCCGAGAGCCACAAACCACACCAACGAGTTCAAGAGCGCATTTAAACAAACAACATTACTCTGCATAAACACAATAATGATACATGTGTGTAAATGAAGCAGCAGCGTGGGAGGCTGGCACAGTGAGCTGCATGCCTCTGCAAGAATCCACAGCAGCTGTTCACACTGCAACAAATGGCACTTCCTGTGAGGAACACGGAGCGCATTTCAGCCAATCAGGTGTGAGGGATGTCTGGTGTGTCATATCTGAGCTGCAGAGTAAAAATGGATCCTCCGGTTCTGTAATTTAACCACGTGATTCATGAATTATTGAAAGCTAATCACTCACGTCTGTGGCGTAGAGGATGTCGACGATCCTCTGCAGCGTCGGGTCGCCCTCGCCTTCCTTCTCCTGGCAGATCAGCTCGATGTTCCTCAGCTTTCCAAAATAAAAGTCTCTCTCCTTTTCCATGTCCTGGATGGTGGATTTCAGCATCTCCATCTGTGGACGAAGATAAAGACACCTGATCAGCACCCCTCGCCTCGCCGTCGTCCTTACAGAGGCGACAGTCTGCCCTCTGACCTCATTGATGAGCTCAGCCACCTCCTCGTCGTTTCCTCCCGTCCCCGCCTTCTTCGCACTGACCGGAGCCACCTTGGGCGCCACCTTAGCCACGGGGGGCCTCTGAGGAGCTGAGGAGAAATTAGAAGGTCAGCGACACGATCAAAACTTCAGCACTTCTAAACCCGTCTGTAACCGTCACCCATCTGAAATCTGACCAATCAGACGTGTCGGCTCTTACCTTGATTGAGGGCCTTTTTGGGTGGTTTGTTGAGGGCTGACGTGGCGGGGTTGGGCGTGGGCATGGCGTCCTGCCCCTGTCTCGCCTCCACGGGGTCGTACTCCTTTCCGTCGTAGTTGGCGTCGAAGAACTTCTTGAACCACTGTACGAACTCGAAGTTATCCTGGAACTTCCCCTTCACCAGTTTGTCCACCGGAATGATCTGGAAGAGACGGAGAAATGGCGCCAGGCTGTTAGCGGCGCTCTGACTGCAGGGTTTACTTTTGTCTCTTTGACATTTAAAGTTCGACGGACATCATGTTAGTCCCACCCTGGACCGACACAGAGTCCCGTTAAACCGTCTACAGCAGCGGAGTCCAACTCCAGGCCTCGGGCGCCGGTGTCCTGCTGGTTTTAGATCTCACCCTGGGTCAGCACACCTGAATCAGATGATTAGTTCACGACCAGACCTCTGGTGGACATTATTTAGCCATTTACATCAGCTGATAACGCCGGCCCTCGAGTCCCCCCACCTGACATGTTCATTCTTTCCGTTTTGTCATTTGCCAGAATGAAATTAACCGTTCAGAACAATCAGACCTCAGGTTTGTTTCTGCACCAGCTCACCACCACCTCTCGTTCCAAACAAGCGCCTCGTCACGAAGAGTCATGAATTCAACGTTCTCGTCTCCGCCCGTCGAGCTGCAGCAGGATCGTCTCTGCAGCTCTCTGGACTGCACACGTCTGAAGCGCACAGTGTTAAAAAGCTTCTGGAAGGAGCTCAGAGATCATCCCGAAAGAAACACGTTTGGATCCAGAGGACAAACTGAGCCGACATTAATGAAGCTCAGTTTGCAAAAAAGACCAGAGAACAGGAAGCACCAGAAACAAAGAAACTTCCACTAATGCGAATAAAAGAGACAAAGTCAAACAGAGACTTTCAAAGGTTTGAGGAGCTTTTTTCAAACCTCAAAGATGTGCAGCGAGCCGAGCACAAAGCGAGTCCGGTCTGATTCACACACTGCTGTAAGAACAGGTGTTTGGTTACAGATCGCAGCTGTTGGCGAGGGAGCGCCGCGCTCCTCCGCTGCCTTTATGTTTGCGCTGTCTTTAAAGCTTTTAAATAGCGTTAGTAAAAAGAAATACAAAGCAAATCTGCACGTTCAAAGCTCGCTGGGACATTTCCTGAGCCGCGCCAACATGTCCACGCTCCTCTGCTGCTCTAATGGGACCATCACTTCCTGAACTTCATCCTTTATTCATTCGGACTGAGAGCATAAAGTCATCAGGTAAGCGTTTACTGAGCTCAGAGATCGGGAGGGCGCTCGTTTGCTCTCAGGTCCGAGAAAGTGGGCGTGGCGTCTTTGCAGAACAGCGCTTAGAGGCCGGGGTCAGCCGGGATCAGCCGCAATTCCTTGCGTTCACGCTGTACGCAGGACTTGTGTCCTCGCTTCAGCTGAACGACTTCACTGTGGCAGGAACAGTGTAGCATGTAATTAGCTGTGGATTTCCCACAGAAACCAAATCCTCGCTAATCCTCAGAGTGATTCACGTCGCTCAGGCCGAACACACCCCTGCTCCAGTTACGCCAATGCTTCCTGCGGCTGCTTCACAACAAAAGACCATCCGTACGAACACGATTACAGTCGTCAAACAGAAACGTTTAAACACGTTATTATTGTCTGCATCTGTGAAACGGATGATCTCAACATCTGAGGATTGTGCGTCGCCGCCAACAGAAACTCATCAATGAGCATGACTTACTTTGTCGACGCCCATCTTTTTGAAGGCCACCTGCAGAAGCTTGAAGTTGTGGATGTACTCGTGCTCGAGCTTGGCCCCGAACTTCACTTTCTTCAAAGGCACAGAGTTGGGAAACAGCATGTCCATGAACTGGCAGTAAGCAGCACCTGGACACAGGAAACACTTTGACTACAGGCGGAGAGGAAACACCGTGTCAACGGAGGCGTCACACACCACAGGAAATCAAAACTGACAAACTGCACGTTTGATTTTAGAACTAGCTTTAATCGTCTCTTTCCTGTTCGCTGTGTGATGTAACCCACACAGTGATAGAAGTCACATGCTAACGCCTCAGGATACGGAGACGAGAAGAGCGTGAGGCCACAGAAAGGTTAGTGTGACTGAATCTGTTCAACGGTGACCTGAAAGGGTCAGAATAAGGTTTGTAGACTAATCTGATCATCACCTGACGTACGTTTAGGTGTCAAATATGAAGGCAATTCCTCGGCGAGCTGCAGATTTAAGAGAACGGCACAAAGAGTGCTGAAAGTCCTCGCTTACCTGAGCACAGCATTTCTATCTTGGTGAGGTTCATCTGTAGAGACTCGTTGATCCACACGAGCATGTCATGGCGACTTAAGTTGTCGCTGGTCACTGAGGTCGAGTACACGTTCACAGCCATCGTCGGTCACCTGACCACACAGACACACACACACTTACATGGTGGCCATCACACCGACAGCTCGTCGGGTTGTTACTGTCACTTTAAACCTGCTCGATCAGGACCTCGTCAATGAGGATGACCCGATTAGATAAATCCTCTACTCTGTGGAAGCACTGGACTACTTTTTGAATTAATCTGCTGAAAAGTAATTGTTTTGGTTTGTCAAATTTCAGAACAAAGGACATGAAATGCAGTTTGATCACAGTAAACTCAGAATTTCTGTTTTTCAGACAAGACAAACAAAAGCACGACTTCCTGTCCTTTTGTGATGGAAACGGGTGAAATGTGGATCTGAACCGACTCTTTGGCGTTTGCTCGTACTTGCAGGCCCGTCTGTGGCTCTGCGTCAGATAATGAGCTGCAACCTTCGGCCAACATTTAATCTGCCGCTGAGGACGAGGCTGCAGGCACACCCAGATACAAACCTCCCAGATGAGCACAATTTAAAACTCAAAGCATTTTATCTACAGGAGCAGTCGCAGTTTTCTGAGTCAGCGGCAAAAATCACAAACTAAACAGACAGCAGTCCCGACGATGCCCGTTTCAGGTATGTCCTCTGCAGCTGGAGGTCAGTGCTACACAATGTACAGATGTGGTCAGCTGTCACATCTTAAAGGCCAAAACATGTGGTTATTGTAGGAGTCATCTGTAAGCAGCCTTCACACCAAGAGATCCTCTCAGGAGAGGAAGCTGAATGCCATCGATGACCAGCAGATAATCTACAGCAGAGCAAATGCTCCTGGGCAGGTAGTAAACACTGACAGGTCCATCAGCTGATTTCATTTAGTGACGTCACTGTGAATGTTGCTACAAAAACTTGTGTGATTCAGCAACAGTGTCATCATGCTTACAGCTGTTTACAGGAAGCTGAGCAGACAGTGGGCGGAGTCACGTATGGTGAGGTACCAACCAGGTCGTGAAGGTTAATAAACGGACATCTTTCCCAGCCAACAACCATCAGTTGTCAGTCTGAAAGTAACAGTGACGCATTTGTTGGGTTTTTTTGTTTTCCTTATCACAAACAAACCATCTTCCAACATTTATTCAAATATTATTCAAATATCATCTCCAGTAAGTGCAGATTAGCATATTTCTCAAAGAAGAAAAGTTGGTTTTATCTTTGCTGTTAAATTCAGATTTTCGTTTTCTTTACTCAGAGGAACAGAAATAAAGTTTTAAAGGTGGGCAGTGGCCCCTGTAGCTGACCAGATGAGGCCGGGCTCCTGAGCTGTGAGGAAGTGACCGTTAGCCACACGCTGCTAACATTAGCGGTGATCAGCAACGTCAGGTCCGCGGCTCCAAGCACCGAACGGGTCAGCGTCCGGCTCACTGGGAAGACACTGGCAGAGCTCCGCTATCTGACCGTTAGCTGTGTTAATATTAGAAAGCTCGGTCATCGGCTAAACGCGCCCACACCGGCCGGCTGAGTCAGTCACCTCCCGGACCTGCAGGCGGTCCCCCCCCCCCGCCCTGAAGCACCGCCCGGTTAGCTCCCGTTAGCCTCGGCCATTATTGAGTCAAACCTCCTCGGATAAGAGCCGTTAATAGCGGTTTAAACCGTCACCGTACCGGCAGCTGCCAGAGCTGGAGCTCGGTCCCGGGGTGCCCGGTCCGAGGCTCCGGGATTGCACGGTTCTAGCTACATGCTAACACTGAAGCTAACAGAGCGCGCCGCCGTTATCCAGCCGCTCCGGCCGGCTTCAAACCTACCTGCAGCCGGTTTTCTTTCGCGGTTCTCGAACTTGGAGCTTTTACTCTTCTCAGCAAGAAATGTTTCTCATAAAAAAAAACAACCTGCGCTCGTTTCGACGTTTGTTCCTCTTCTGCTTTTTTCTTCTCTTCCTCACGTCCACTCTGCCGGCAGCGGAAGAAGCGATGCGATGACGTCAATACGTAAAGGGAAACGCCTAAACGTAAGGACGGCGGACGGAAGCGAGACGTCCGAACAAAATGGTCTATGATGAGGTCATTATTCATAAAAAGGATTATGTTCAATAAATTCATCATTCACGACAAAAACATCCTCATATTATAGGAGCAGCGGGTCAGGTTTACGTCACTCAGTGACGTATCGACATCCCAATAACCATAGTAACATCATTTTCCTCCTGTAGTGACACAGAAACATGTGCACTCCCACCTCCTGCAGCAGCAGGCCTTCACTCTGCTATCACAGGAAGCTGAATAATGGAAGAACAGCCTAGCTTACATTTACATGGAGATTTTAGGAGCTTAACGCCAAATAAAGACCACAAGAGAGAAGAGACGAACTGATTTTACTGAAAAACGGCCACCACCTGAATCTGTTGGTATTAAAGGGCCCAAAGAACCACAGCACAGTCACCGAAATCTTCATCGTCTCAGTTTAAACTTCAGCAGGTCGTCTTCACCGTGTGTGAGCTGCTGCCACACGATTGGCCGATAAGACATTTGTGTCATGGGCAGTTGAAGAGGCATACCTAACAAAGTGGCAGGTGAGTGTATTTATTTTTGCCCTGCTCTCACACAGCTGCTAAAATCCACCAGGACTGCACACCAATGTTCCCTCTAATGTTCCCTCTAATGTTCCCTCTAATGTTTCATGTGTCTGAGCCAGCACACCAACTCCCTGAGCGTCCCTTGGACCACTGTGAGCAACAGCAGACGTGTGCACTGTGGTCACGCCAGCATCCAATCCATGCAAGTTACATGTTTATTAAAGTAATCAAATTACAGCATTTACATTTATGTTAGACGACTTTTAATTAACTGCTTTAGCCCACTGACAATGAAAATAAAAAAAAAATCTTGTTCATGACCTGTGCAGCATGTTAACACTATTGGAAGTAAAAATAACTTTGACAACAATTTTGAAAACACAACTTTCTTTCTTTCTTTTTAATAAAGCTCTGACTTGTATTATGAGTCTGTGGTCTGGGAGAGTAACTCTGTCTGCAAAATACAGTAAATAATGACCAATGTTGGGTAGATAATTATATAGTTACTTCTTCAAAAAAGTAACTGAGTTATGCAAACAACAAAGTGTTTTGCAGCTGTTTACCTAAAAATGCAGCCAGCAGCGTTTTTAAACAAACATTTCAAACTATTTACAGAACAATCAGCTGTTCTGCATCAAATCTGATGCCACACAAATGATTTTTGCCTCATTGTTCTGACACACAACAAAACTATTGACTACACTACACACTAACGCAAATCTCTCACATCTCAAAACACGCCGTCACTCCTAAAACTTCCTCCAGTATCTTAACAACTAAATGCCATGTTTTGATTGGTCGACATGGTACATTTTTCCACCAATAGGAAAGGGCGGGGTGTGTTGTCTTTGCTCACAGGCTTTCCAGCTTTTTCTTCCCTCAGTAAATATAAACAACGACAGTATTCAGGAAGAAAAACAAACATTGCAGATATTTTATCATAACTCTGGTTTTACGCGGCCGATCAACACAAATTAAAAACTGCTATAAAGTCCACACTTTGTCCGTCAGTTGTTCCGTCAGTCCTGCTCACATCTCCAGTGGTTGTACACGTTGTCGTTAACGTGGCTTCACTCCACATCAGCCGCTTTGCTAAAACACCGGCACATAAGGACGCTGTCATAGGCTGTCAACCACCTTTATTAGCTGCGTATATACGAATGTGAATCGCGTGATTGGCTGGACTGTGGGATAAGGTGGCATCGTTCTGATCCCATACAGGAGCAGCCAGTCACTGACTAACACTGCAGAACAGAATTGTTAACATATTTACTTTAATTTCAGTTTAGGTTAGAATTTTTTTTTTTGTGCGCAGAGACCGTGCCATCAGTGCGCAATTACGCGCGCAGCTTAGAGGGAACATTGCTGCTCACAGGTGTGTCCTTCATTAGTGTAAAAGAGGCGTGGCTACACCTGGAACATCAGACTGTAGCTGTGTCCCAGCGACCGCACACTTCGTAGTACCCGCACTTCACGGGCTACGTGAGGCGGGTACTACGAAGTGTGCGGTCGCTGAATTGGGACACAGCTTGTGTCCTCCACTGTGTGTGGCACTCAATGGCTGTGTCCCAATTCAGCGACCGCACGCTTCGAGTACGCATTTTGAGACCTATTACGTCACAGCGACGCGAGGACGGCTGTCCCAATCCGAAGCGTACTCCAAATGCGCCGTCGATTTCCCCAAATATCAAGCGTGGTCCGGTGCACGCTTCGTGGTCCCACAATTCATAGCGTGGCAGTGGGTGTGGATAATTTTGCCGCAAAATACGGCAGAAGGGAGCGGCCAAGAGTGAACTGTCAAAGTACTGAATATGACGTCACTTATTTATGTGCGAATGTTTAATGAAGAACATTAAACATGACTGTTGGTCACATGTCGGCAAAGTCATGTGACATTAGTGACGTTTGT